TCTCTGTGTCCCTCCTCCTGCCTGCCTGCCTCCCTTCCTCCTCCATTCTTCTTTTCCCTCCACCTCTGTTAATTCTACAGCAAAACCTTTTTAATAAACTCCACCTTTCCCTCCACACTGACTATCCTGAAATTCTAAATTCTTTCTATGGCAAAGTCAAGACTCTGGGCTCAGGAGATGTCTGAAAATGCCACAGCCTGCCACAGGCAGCTGATGTGGGGGATATCCCTCTGTATGTATGTACCTCTTGGTTGATGAATAAAACACTGATTGTCCAGTAGCCAGGCAGAAAGTATTGGTGGGGCTACCAGATAAGAATTCTGGGGAGAGGACTCAGAGAGTGAGCCACCAGGGAGATGCCATGTAGTCGCAGAAGGAGTAACAGGTCCAGGCATTCTCTGGTAAGATAAGGCCATGTAGAAATACATAGGTTAGCAGTTATGGGTTAATAATTAAGAGAGAGCTAGCCAAATAAGAAGCCTGAGCCATCGGCCAAACAGTTTACAATTAATGTAAGTCTCTGTGTGTTTATTTGGGGCTAAAGGGTGGCAGGACCAGGCAGAATGAAACTCCGTCTACAGGCACAGAGTCACCAGGTCTCCTGTCCCCACCATCCCAGCCACTGACCACACCAGCCAAGCAGCAGTCCTCGGGACAGAAGGACAGAAGTGCTGTCTGCCCAGACCTAAGAACCAACACATGTGCTTCACGGAGGAGCTGAAGAAAACAACCCCAAAGCCATGATGTGACCTGTATTCCACCCCAAAAACCCATTCATGGGGTCCTGCCCACCATTCAGTCATCCAGGAAGGAGATCTGTCTTGGATGTAGATCTGGGAGGTGAAGTCCTGACTCCAGGAATCCCACACACAACACACACCGTGGTTGGGTTTGACAATCAGCAAATGACCCAGGGACGGTTCAGCTTTGATTTAATAAGAAGGGGGTTGCAACCAGCACTCAAATCTGCTTATAGTCAATTTGCTGTTCACACAATACACTACCAGGGTGACTCTTTGTGTATGTGGCTGACCTTTGTCTGGGCAATCTTGTCCTAGCAAGAAGAGGAAAACCCTCCCTTGCAAACCATTAGCACTCAGTAGATGGCTTTAATCTGCACACTGACAAAGATGTTAACTTGGGAGGGCCCTAACACATACCATCCTTTTGTCTGAAAAGCAGTTCAAACTCTGTTGTGATTACAGTTGAGTGAGGTTCAATTACTGTAATAAATATATCCCAAATTTCATCTCAATTGCATTTGCATTTTAATGAATGATTCTCACCTTCTTGTCAATTTGGCAGCCAGACTGGATTTATTAAGTTATTGTATAAACAGGGCATTCTAATGCAGGAAATTTAAATGCAAAATATATGCTCTCATGTATCTGAACCAGGGCTGCATTATTAATTTGCCCCATCCAGCTTGCCTAAATAGTCAAGAACCAGGGGATGGTATTTTAGGTCCTTTCCACTCTCCATCATGCTTGCCCTGCCCTCCTCAGAAATCAATACGTCTGGGTGGGCTGACAGAGCAAGGCATAAGCCAGCCAGATGAAGTGAGCTCTCTACGCTTCAAACCTCCACACACTGGGAATACACTGATTTATCTGCTATTATCTGAAAACAGTAAAATTTGTTAAGTGAAAATTTCCCACGTAGGCAATAACCCATTGCAAGAGCAGGACACCCCTGAAATTCAATTGCCAGGAGTGTTTGTCCATCTTAATGTCATTCAGCCTTCCCCATCACAGCACTCTCGGCTTTATAGCCTCATATTTCTCGTAGGCAGAGACAGAAAATATGAGCAAAAACTGGCCGGATGCAGAATCATAACACCATTAAAAGTTGGATTTTTTTTTTCCTTTGGAGGTACATTTGGGCTATTAGTCCTCAACAAAGTGACATACTTAATCCTCCTCCCTCTGTAACAGAGAGACTGAACACACATTGGTTCCCATCACATGCCACCCCTTGGCTCTCCAGGGCCCTGAAACTTCTTTCGAGAACCACATGCTTGTTGGGTGCTGCCCAGTCCTGGTTTTTTTTCAGTCCCGGAAGGCAAGTTTGTGTGAAGTGACCTAAGTCATACACACGGAAAAAAGAAAAAAAAAGAAAGAAAGAAAGAAAGAAAGAAAGAAAGAAAGAAAGAAAGAAAGAAAAAATACGTCAAGTTGACAATTAAACTAAGCATCGCACTTAATATTTATAATTACCCGAGAAAGCTGGAGGGGACAGAGTTGGGTGAAGTGGGTCGGGCACAGGACAGTGCATGCGTCACGCTGTAAAATACACAGAAGCTAAAAATGCCAAAGGCATAGAAGTAGGGAACATGACCATGGTGGCTACAGGAGGCTGGGAAGGAAAGAGGGAAGATGGAGAAGGACAGCTGATGTCACAAGGGTGCAGTAGGACTTCGGGTGGTCTACAACACTGAAGGCTGTAGCTGATTGACAACTGTTATCTGCGTGTTTGAAAACAGGGAAGAGAGGAGAGTTGGCATGTTCCCATGTACCTGGGGCGATGGTCATGCCACTTACCCACAGTGGTCATTCACACCTGTGCAGAGATACCACACTGCAACCCAAAAAAAACATGTGCAGTCATTATGTCAATTAAAAATAAAAACAAACGATATTTTGAAACCCACCTAAGAATGAAGGCCCCAGTTAAAATCCTGGAGCCCACATAGGAAGCCAGGGTAGTCTCCTTCCGGCCCGTGACACCAACACCGTCATGGGTGGAGGCAGGAGGATCACAGGGGCTTCCTGGTTACCAGCCTAGCCCCAGGGTCAGTGAGAGAATCTATGCCAAGGAAACAAGATGCAAAGTGACAGAGAGCAGGACACATAGCATCCTCCCTCAACCTCTGCACACAGGCACCTGCACATACACACAGGTGTATCCCCTGCAAACACATACACACACATGCATTCACCACACACACACACACACACACACACACACACACACACACACACAACCCAAAAAAGTAACAAAGCAAACACCCCACACACCCCATTTGAACCTGTCCCTTCCTCTGCCTTCTCGTGTCACACTTTTGTTCCCTGCCCTATCCCTGCTGAGCCATGCTGAGTCCTCCCATTGGCACAGCAAGCCATCCTCTCATGGGCTTACATGAGACTCCTGGACTCCCATACAGAGAACATATGTCCTTTGAAAATGCAAACACCACCCCGTGCAACAGTGAGAAAGCTGTGTCTGGCAGAGGAAACTTTGCATTGTGTAACCCGCCTCTGCCTCCTACAGTCACCTCCCTCCACATCATTCCTCTTCAATGTCAGCTGAGGGAGCTTTACACCCTGTGAAGCAGTGAGCAAACCCCCCCTCCCCCGCCCGTGAGTGGATTTAAAGCCAAAAAACTGCTCTTCCCTGCAAATAGCTTTCACCCTACAAATAGCCTAGTAATCAGTAATCAGCAATAATGATGAGGAGGATGTAGGAAACATACATGGAATTAAATGAGAATCTGCAAAATAAAATCAAGCATTTTTAAATGGGCCTCTGCAGTGTCTGGGGAACACCTCCAAGCTCATTCCACGATCCCACCGTCTGAAGTTCCCAGAATAGACGAGGATGTCTGGCATCAGGGCTAGATTCTCCCCTCCACCAACCCTGTCCACCTGTCACTTGGGCCCTTCCAGAAGGCACAGCAGCTGGGATTCCTGCTGCCTTTGGCGGGAGAAGGGCTGAAAACTCAGTAGCTTCCTCGAGTTTCCCAGCCCCAGCCTGTCTTTGGGTCTCACTCACTTAGAAAGCCAGTGAGATGTTTGCAGATTCCCAAAGCACCTTTAGAAGGCACAGTCCCTGAGCCCCACACACACACACTCCAGGCTCACTTCAGGATGCAAGGCTCCCCACCTCTGCCATGCAGGGCCTGGGCTTTAGCTCCCCCACAGCAGGGCACCAGTGCACACAGACTCAGCTCTGCATTTATGGCGACCAGTTCACCCATCATCACCTCCATTTCCTCCTTGTGGGCTCCTACTTAGCCATAGGTCACCTCCTCCAGGGAGGCCCTTCTCCTAGTTTCTCTAGATAGCCCCCCATCCCGTCCCCTGTGTGTGCTCACAGCCTTTTGGCAGTAGGGAGCCTGTCCTGGAACTTACTCTGTAGACCAGGCTGCCCTCAAATTCACAAAAATCTGCCTTCCTCCGCCTCCCGAGTGCCACTACTGCCCGGCCATCTCTGGTTTTTTTTTTTTTTTTTTTTTTTTTTTACATGGTTCTGGAGACTTGAACTCGGGTCCCCACACTCTTGTGGCAGGCACCTCACTCACTGAGTCATCTCCCTGGCCTGGGCTGTGGATCTTTATGACTCCTCACAGTATCCTTTAGTGGGATCATGGTAGAAAACATACTCGGTAAATACCAGCTGGAAGGTAGAACATAGTTTTCCAGGGATTAAATTGCCTGTCCCAGGTCTTAGTAAAAGGCAGATGCAGCACT